CCCCACCCCCCATTGAACCAATCATCCCCAAATCTGGAAGCTCTCCCCCAGGTTGAAGTAAGATGCAAACCATCTACTTTTTAACCAACTAGCTTGTCAGAAACCTTAATTCACTTCTACTCATGCATGGAGTGGAACCTAATGTAATCCATCACATCAGTCAACATACTATAATACAAAACCCTGATTTTATCCCACACTGACAACTGCAAACTTGCATTACTTGAGAAGGATATTGTTGTCTCTACTATCTCACACTCAGAGAGAAAACAGACATATCCCAACTCGGACATTTCCAGTCTGAAAAAAATAATCACCACAATCCTTCCTAAGTACCTGCCCAAAGTCCTAGTGCTTCTCAGTGCCTGGTGCTCTGGTGCCTTATACTATATGTAAACAGCACAAAAGTCACCCCCAGCATTTTGAGCGAAGAGCCAATAGTCTACTTCCTTGTGGTTCCAAGGACAAGGTGGGAGGAAGACAAGATGGCACTTCTCAAGGTCATGTATTTCACAGAAGCTGTGGACTCAGGCCAGCAGCCAATTCAGGTGCTTGGCAAGATTGAGGGAAATGGGAGAGGAAAATGAACAATTGGATGGAGGAATAAAATCCAAGAGATTACTGGAATGTCTTAGAAAAGCTATGAGTTTTATTAAAGACAGGGAAAGCTAGCAAAGTTTTGTTCAAACAGTTACCCAGAGGCAAATAAGTTTCAATGATCCCTAAATAACTGTAGGCCTTTCCCTGCTATTACGTGCTATTTATTCCTTGTGTTGGACACAAAAACACAATGCCACCATAAACTTCGGTATGCCTATCACCAATTCCTATTTTGTCTCTTTTGTCTCTGTTCTATCTCACTGTCAAGTTGTGTCATAGGGATTTGCACATACGTCAGCATTAAAATCAGTGGTCAGTCTTCTCTGGTTAAGTTGCTATCCTCCTTCAAAAAATCACTAGGCAATGGGAAAAATCAGCACCAATCAGGGCACTGCAGCACGAATGGAGTGGGCCTGGTTTGGGGATTCCTTTCTAGCCTGGTCTGCCCCTCCTGTCACATCTCCCAAGTTAAAATATGAAATTTTGATCAGAGAAACATTAGAATAGAAATAATTGCACATTCTAGAAGACACGTTCTACTATGACTGTACAATTAATTATGTCCCCTAAATAGGGTTAACTAAAGCTGACTGGTGAGTAAAACCAGCCAATGACCAAAAAAGGCCCAGTTTGAGGTCTCTTGTGATTTTCAGGATCTTAATGTGAGAAAAAAGTGACAATCCCATATCTGAAAACAGAAATACTGCTTCTGGCATAGTGCTGATCTGGTACTAAATAAATATCCCCCCTTTCTTGTTCATATTAAATACTGGGGATCTGATCTCAGCACACCTCCCTTGTTGAAAGTCTGAAGAGAAACTGGTTTTAAAAACAGAGAAAGTGGCATGAGATAAAATAAATGGGGAAAGCAAACACCAGGAGAGAAGTTAATTCAGGGGGCGGGGTGGCTAATGGCCATGCCAAATACTCACTGAACACAGCTCTTCTTATGCCCACAACTCAGGGAAACAGATGGCAAAATGTCACACATTTTGCTTGCCTTGAATCTGAGTAGGATAAAATCAATTTGGGGGGGGAGACGGTATTTTTATTCTAATACATTAAAGGACAATACAAGGCTGGAGATAAGACGAAGAAAAATCTTGGAATAATGAATTGGAGGAGATAATAACTTTATTGTCATTGTACATGTATACACAGTATACCCATACGATGAAATTCACTTAACACCCAAAGACCAGATGAGAATTGTCTGGGCAGGATGAGGACTGCAAGCGGGGATCAGCTCCAAGAACACATCAAAACATACACCACAAATGAATACCGTCACTTACTGCAGTCTGACACTGGATTAAGAATGACCTTAAAAATGTTTAGAAATCTACCTGGCCTGAAGTAACGCCTTTTTCCCTTAGAAGTGAAATAGCCTAGTATTGATCTGGGTTATTGAGATACGAAGCCAGGCTTTTTTCATGAATGGAGCAAGCAGGCCCTCTACTGCCTGTTAGGGGCATAGTCTTTAAAACAAAAAGTTCTGAAGGAAAATATTCTTAAGGCATTCGGTGACACTTGAACGTTGTCCTTTTTTGGCCTGAAGGAAATTCCAGTTGACGGAAGTTCTGCTCTTATTCTCCCATTTGCAATGATAACAGCTTTATTGCTGGAGTCACATTTCTTGGAGGTTAAATCATACAGAGATTGCCCTGTGTGCCTAAACTCACATCTGCTGACAGCAAAAGGGCAGGAAAATTCCACTCTTCGGAGTCAGAAGATGCTTATGAAACCCCAAATTAGAAAGGTAGGGAGGGGGAAAAAAAGAAAATAGAAAACTGGGAGCGGAAGGGGAGAGATAGCAAGAGTTGCATAATTGCTCGAACAAATGAGTTGTCTCTGAATTACTCCAGTCTTTACTTCCATCCACACAGGTGCCAAGAAGCTATAGCAAGACAGAAGTACTGTATGCATGCCATTCACATACACATACCGTTTTAAATATTAAATCTTGCTGCAATCCTAAATATCATAGAATGGATCATATAATTATGTAGAGGGTAACTAAGAGTTCTGGAAAAAAAAATTAATTCACTTGTTTCCTGAATGAAACTATAGACCTTTTTACTTGCTTGGGCCACATTGAATGAAGACAAATTATCTTGGGCCACATATAAAATATATAATATAATCAATGTATATAAATACATTATTAGTTTACGATCCTGTGGGGCCTCATTACTAGCTGTCTAGGGCCTCATGTGATCTGCAAGGCATGGGTTGGACACACCTGCTTTGGACATTCCTTCAAAAGACTTCTGGATGCCTTCAGGTTCCTCATTTTAGGCTACGGCTGTCTAAAATAAAATGTGGTCATGAGTAGTATGAAACATACTGAGACAATGTTTGTGTTATTTTCTTTAAAACATTCCCTAACATTTGGTTTTTTCAGTGATTTGTTGAGGAGATTTGTTGTGAGAAACTGCATAATTTCTAGAAGCCCTTCCCCCAAAACAAATTAGGAATTACCTGTGGCTCATGGAAAATAAGTAACAATTCCTTCCTATAAATAAACTTTATAATAATATAACCTTTATGTAACAACAAAGATTAATATGTAGGTCTTTGGTTATTCGGGTTTTCTCCCGCGTTTTCCTGAGAAAACCCGAATAACCAAAGACCTACATACAAACACCCGCGAAAACCTCAGAAAACAAAAAAGGTTAATATGAATATACACCTTTTGAAATCTTGAACAGAAAAAGATACAACTAGACTTTATACTTCTACATTTTAAATGGTATGTCGTGAGTATTGGGACCAATTTGAAAACCACGTGCCAGCAGTTCTCAATCTGCTGAGTGAAACCTCCATGTCAGGAGTTTATAAGCAACTTGGAGAAAAGTCACTGTTTAAAAAAAAAGAAGTCTTGATCAGACTTGTTTTGGCAAAGCGGGAATGTCAAAACTGATTCTGGGTTTCGTTTTGCCTTCATAAAGCCTTAGTGGACACCTACTGAATCACAGAGTCTGAGAACTTCTCTGATCTATAGATTAAAGTGTAATTATTAAAATTAAAAGTAGTATATTTCTTTCTTTTTCAGTCCTAAAATTAATGAGACCTTTATTTTCATTCATGCAGAGGAAAGATTGTCACTTTGTTATTCCTTGATCCTTTATAATGCACTGCATTTCAAATTCAAGTTTGTATATACTGTCGTGGACTTCAGAATAGATAGGTATATAAATATTTATTAAAAGTTTTACAAAGAACATAAAAACTAACACAAACTAATCAAGAATAACAGCAGTAAAGAAAGGAAGAAAAGAAAAGAAAAAGAAAAAAACTGCTTCTGATTTTCTTTGGAGCAAACATAAATACTATTACAAAATTTTCTCTTATTCCTAATTACAAAAAAACTACTAATTGTGTAGTCAAATTTCCTCAAGAAATCACTGAAAAAAACAGAATGTTAGGGAACGTTTTCAAGAAATTAACACAAACGTTGTCTCTAAACTGAAAAAAAAAAAAACATAGCAAATCCCAATGCCTTAATCTCCAGCAATATCACTACAGTAGTCTCAACTGTTCCCTTCCAAATTCCCCTCCCTAACTTTCTATTACCCAGCTTTTTTTCCTAATAATCAAATCTATAAATCAAAACTGCATTTTTTTCTGTTTCATGCAAAAAGTTTATAAGGGGTTTCTTTTCAGCCATAAATATTGATATTGCTTTTTTCTCTAATCAAAGAGGTTAATTTAGACTTCACCGACCATTTCTCCATTGTGAGTAATGCCAACCTTACCACATTTGATTAAATGACAGCTCAGATTCTCATGATGTAAATTTTGTAATGTCTTTTTAAACACTTAAGAAAGGTTATAAGAACTATTAAAACTGGCTAGGGTGATGCCAATGTTAATGTACCTGAGTTTATATATCTAAATATAACAAGTGATATTTACAAGTTTCAGACTGAAGTTGGAATTCTCTTAAGATTTTTAACTATAAAAATCTCTGTTGTTATTACAGAGTTAATTCATGGTACTACTTAATTCATGGTATAAGACTCATGAACATAGAAAATTCCAAAAAAAACATGAATAGGACTGCACTGTCAGCACATCAGTAAATTTTGTGAAGAAGATACTTTGATCTCAGAACTGAAGTAGCTTCTTGGATGTTAAGCAAAACATTTTCAAGGGGGGGGAAAAAACCCAAGAAAGTTCAGTTGCCTTTTGAAAAGCATCTTTGGGATGTATTCTGATCTGCTTTTATGCTTGTCAACCATTCTCCATACAGTACCATTCATTTATGCACATATGTGTTCATACAGCTACAGGAAACTCATACTTTGAGGAAACTCATACTTAATTCATTTACATATTCAGCCCTCATCTCTCTACAGTCCCCTTTGCCAAAGATGGAATAGGCTATGGATACTTACCACCAGACATGGAGATCCTATGGCAGATCCAGCCATGTGTTCTTGACTCCTGCTGTCATCTCCAGCTAGCCGTAGTAACTCCTTTGCCACTGTCTCCAGCTAAAGCAACTCCAACAATTTCTCACACTTCCTGTCTTCACCACTGTTTCAGAAAATCAGAGAGAAGACATAATTGTAAACTCTTCAGCTTTATTAGATTTTTTCCCCCTCTCAAATAAAGCTGTCTTCTTTCAGCTTCTATTAATGTTCTTCACTTTTCTTTGCTGCCTTTCAGGCTAAGCTACTCAAATGATCAGGAAGCTAGTGAAGGAAAAGGGCGGTGTAAAGGGAGGGAGAGAGGGAGGGAATATGTATGTAGTTTGCCTCTTACCCTCCTTCCCCTATCGGGGTTAATCTCTCATTCTTCTGTAAAAAGGCTTCAGGGACACCTCCCTCCACAGGGTGAGGCTTTGGCCTAGCCTTAAACTCCATAGCCTGTTCTTCATTAAACTGTTTATGAGAGCTATAAAAATACACACACTGCATCCTAGCTACTCTGATTGCTTGCCAGGTGCTGTTTTTACACTAGCTTTTATACTATTAAACTAGTAGCAGCCCAATTATGGTAGCTTCCCAAGCAAGGGAGGGTCTGTAATTAAGAGTACCCACCTGATGATTACAAGTTTAGAAAAAAGTGAGAGGGTAGGTGCTCAACAATTCTGTAAAGTTACAACTATTTAGTGGAAACATCAACAAGAGTCTGAAAATTCTCAGAAGTCTTGCTCAAACAGAGGAACTAAGCTTACAGCAGTGACTCATGAGCCCTGGTTGTCTGAGGGACTTCCACTAAGAAAGAAACACCATACCACAATTCAGAGGTGTCCAAATGTTTTATATTTAGGAACCAAAGATTTATATCAAAAGACCAAAATTACTTCCTCCCCATCCATGGCAAAATTCTTATTCTACTTCTCCTCCAACCTGTTCCTTACCTGTGTTGGGGACTGAAACTTGGCTCTTACATGAGAATTGGGAATAACTGGTTGAAAGAGGCATCGTCAGGTAAAGCTAAATTCCCATCTTCTGTGAAAATCTGGAGCTTTTTCCCTCCTGCTAATCTCCCAACTAGATTGTGGCTTCCAAAATTGTCTCTACAGTTGAGATTTCTGGATATAAGATGAAGGCAGAACCATAATTCTTTCTTTGAAACTGTGGCATGATGTTATGATTCTTCAGGGGCTGGAACTACCTGGATTTCTATTTTATATACCTTTGTACTGATTTGCATTCAACACATATTCCAGGTATGATTCCATCCATGTCCCAGAAATCTGTGTATATTTCTGCATTGTGTTTGGAGGTCTCTTCATACAGACAAAGCATTGTTACTTGCTTTGCTTATCTAATCTGTGATGAAGCATACATGCATATCCAGGGTATCGTAACCCAGATCATTTAAAAGAACATTAACAAAAAATTGGAAGCTAGATTTCAGGAAAAAAAGTGACCATGGATATATATATATATATATTGCAAGCATTTGAAGCCACCCCTCAATCAGAAGCCCAGGGCAATCTGGAATTTCAATGAGCTCACCCTGCCAATTAAAAAGGAGGAAGTTCAGAACAATTATTCCAGAAGCCTGTTCAACAACTGCTCTATAAATTGTCTTATAGGAAAGATGATAAAAGTTTCTTGCTTATTTTTAAATATTTATTGTCTTTTTATGTACACTTTCCATTATTTGTTCATTTCTTCAATCTTCAACTTATATGGTATCCAGCTCACAATAGCAATTCTAGGCCGCTTACAACATTTTAAAATAATACAAAACTTATGTTAGTCTAGACAAGATGTACAACCATGAGTACTAGCTCTATATAAAGTTATTTTAAAACAATCTCACAAGAAAATATTTCTCCCCTCCTTTCTTTCTATTCTCTGGAAAAAATTTCAGAAAGGATCTCTTCTGAAACACTTCCCAGAACATCCCCATTCATTTACATGCCAGTTGTCCCACTTGTCCTCTAAAGTCATTTATACCACAACATAATATAGAAGATAGATAGGTAGGTAGGTAAATAGAGATAGAGATAGAGATAGAGATAGAGATAGAGATAGAGATAGAGATAGAGATAGAGATAGAGCAATGGAGACATTGGTTGTGATCCTTTGTTATTCTGAAAAGTAAATTCTAATTAATTAACACAGCATTGCAAGATAGTTGCTTTGGATTGGAGTGGTGGTAAATGATAGCAAAAGTCACAAGGACCAAGCTGGGAGTATTCTACTTGGCTTGACCCTGTTCTTCCTAACCTAACCTCTGTCCTCAAATGGAGGACACAGTCCTATTGCCACTTAGAGTCAGTTACTAGTCCTGTAATGGAACATGGAGGAAATAACTTGGATCGTGGTTGTCAATAAAGCAGAAACCCTACACGCACTCTGCGGTATATGAAAAATACCTTGTTGACCAATAATGTAGTAAATTAGTTGAAAGGAGGCTTCAAGGACACATAGGACACTTTGACACATCACTCATCCTTTCCAAAGTAGTTGGAAGCAATCTGCCAATTACCCTGCTGAATTCAGAATACCGATAACACAAAGTGCCAAGCCCTAACAGCAATAAAAACTTAGCTGGAAAAAGTTATTCATTTGATATCCATGCTACTGCTGGCCTAGGAGCAACAATACACTCTCACCTCTACATAAAAAAGAAGTGGAATAAACCGCTAGGTCCCAGAGATGTATTCATCTGATGCAGTGTGTCAAATTCTCAAATGTTTGAATAGTCAGCTCTTATGTACTACAAAAGCTGTGTTGCTAGAGAAACTCATGTGATGCAAAATCACGCAAATGAATAATAAGATTTAGGGGGAAGAATAGGATTAGAAGCAGACACTCAAAAATACTTTTGCAAACCAAATACAATAAAGAATCCCAATATAGTACTTACACAGTTGAGAGAAACACGTCTTCAGGATTTTCAGCTTTTTCTCTGAAGTCTTCATATATTGCTAATAAGTTCTCTTTTATCAAGCAAAATCTTACCTCAGTCTCATCTTTGATCATCAGTCCAAACTCTTAATAGATGTTCCATCTCCTCCTTTATGACCTGTCCTAATAGACTTTTTAGCACTTTACTTGTTCCTCCTAAAAAGTTTGTGGGTATTTTCCAGGGGTGAAATCCAGCAGGTTCTGATAGGTTCTGGAGAACAGATAGCTGAAATTTTGAGCAGTTCGGAGAACTGGTAGCGGAAATAGTTCAGAGTAGTTCAGAGAACAGGGAAATACCACCTCTGGCTGGCCCCAGAGTAGGGTGGGAATGGAGATTTTGCAATATCCTTCCCCCAGGAGTGGGGAGGGAATGGGGATTTTGCAGTATCCTTCCCCTGGAGTGGGGTGGGAATGGAGATTTTGCAGTATCCTTCCCCTGCCACGCCCACCAAGCCATGCCCACCAAGTCACACCAAGCCCACCAAGCCACACCCACAGAACCGGTAGTAAAAAAATTTGGATTTCACCACTGGTATTTTCTCAGCATTTTTTTCAATTGTCCACAACATCACTTCAGCAGCATGCATGATGTTACATGCTCTTTCAGTTTTTTTCAAAATTTCTCCTCAGTTGATAAAGCTTTTTCTTTTCTTTCTCTACCTGAAGTTTTAACACCAGTATCGTTGTTTGGAACCTTACTTTAAATTATTTTACTATTTTAGGAGGGAAAAAGCACATTTATAACACCTGGGCTATCTTCAGGAAGGGAATTTTAGAAAAGTCAGGATGATGACTACAATGTAGCCACACCTTTTTGATTTTGTCTCACAATGCAGATTAAAAAGAGGACAAGGCTTTTATCACAGGTTTGTGATAAAAACAAACCTTTTTTTTTTTTTACCTTGCCTATGGACAAAAATGAGAATTCTTTTTTTTTTTTTAAATACTTTATTGAATTTTCCAATTTTTTAAAAAGACAATGTACAATCACAATCTTGATCCGAGGTGCAATGTTTACACATTTCATAGATCAAACATTAAGTGAATTTCATCCATAGCTATACAATATACAGTTCTATACAATTCTCTACATTTCTATACAATTAAGTCCATTTCGGGTGTCTAACAAATCGTAGCCTATTATCATATTTTTATCCTATTCTTTAACCAGTTATACCAAATTCCCCATATTTCATAGTACTTGAAATTCTCTTCATTTTTTAGCTCGCTCGTCAATTTAGCCATCTCTGCGCACTCTAGAATTTTATTTATTAATGCTTCTTCAGAGGGGGTAGAGTTGGATTTCCAGAGTTTCGCAAAGGCTAATCTAGCCACAGTAATAATTTGAATTGCCAATTGGGTTTTATTGTTGTCGAGACCATCTTCAATCATACCTAGGAGGAAGGATTCCGGGGCCAGGGCTATCTCTTGTCCCATTATTTCCGAGAGCCAGAGTCGGATCTTTAACCAAAACTTTTTGGTCTCAGGGCAAGTCCACCACAGATGGTAAAAGGTGCCGACCGTCTTTCCACATTTCCAACATAAAGCAGAAGAATTTGGAAATATTTTGGCCAGCCTGTCCGGGGCTAGGTACCACCTATGCAGCATTTTGTAGTGATTTTCCCTGAATGTTACCGATTTCGTTATTTTGAGATTTCTGTTCCAAGCTATCTCCCAGTCATTGAAATTAAGGCCATATCCTAAATTTTTCTCCCAAATGCTTAGCTGATTTTTAGCTATCTTCTCAGCTCTATCCTCATCTAATATAAAGTTATAGATTTTCGATAGCATTTTCTTATCTGGTCCCCAAATAATTTTGTCAAAATATCCATATTTCATTTCAATACCACGTTTATCTCTATCTTCTTGAAATCTAGACTTAATCTGAAGATATTTCCACCAATCCAGAATAAACCCCTGGTCCCTCAGCACTTCCAAGGGCTTGAGCTTCCCTTCTTCATCCAAGATATCCTTATATGTGCCCATTTTATAGTTCTCTCTTCTATTTGGGGCCACTAGAGCATCCATAATCGACAACCAGCTAGGAACCTTGGTATATATCTTCTGTCTAATTTCCAGCCACGTACGGATCAATGTCTCTCTAATTTTATGTTTATAGAAATGAGTTTTCTTCCTATCCTTTATGTCCCAGAGATAAGCGTGCCATCCTTCAAGGAGATCGTGTCCTTCTAGTGTCAAGATTCTACCTTCTTGTAATTTGATCCACTCCTTTATCCAAATTATTTTTGCCGCCTTTTGATATGATTCCCAGTCAGGGAGCCCGAACCCTCCCAAATTTCTTTTCCCTTGAAGTGTCTTGAGAGAAATCCTCGATTTCTTACCCTCCCACAAAAAATTCCTGATATGTTTATTCAGATCCGAAAAAAAATTTTTATCTAGTGATATCGGTATATTTTGAAATAGAAATAGAAATTTCGGTAAAATATTCATTTTGATCGCCGCAATTTTACCAGTCAGGGACAATTTAAGCCTCCTCCACCTATCAAGGTCTTGATTAGTTTTCTGCAATAAAGGGATATAGTTATCATCTTTTAATGAAGAGAGTCTCGCTGTAATCCATATTCCCAGATATTTTATCTTCTTAACTACCTGGAGGCCTAATAAATCTTCTAATTCTTTCGTTTGTGGGTTCGTCATATTTTTCACAATTATTTTGGTTTTGTTCTTATTAAGTTTAAGGCCCGCGACTTCTCCATAATTCTGAACTTCCTGCATTAATTTTGGGCCGGTGTCTAATGGGTCTTCTAATATGAAGGCAACGTCATCCGCAAAAGCCTGTGTTTTAAATATTTCCTTCCTAATCTTCAAGCCTTTGATATTTTCATATCAAAATATGAAAATATCAAAAATGAGAATTCATGTTGTATAAAAAACATGTATGAGAACTGACTGTAATAGGATGAAGCTGTCAAGCCATTTAATTCTGTTGTATTACAAAGCTCAGGGAGATGGCATAACTTTATATCATCAAAGTAATGAAGTAGGTAATTATAGACTACTGTGGACTACAATCTAAATAAATTGCATAGTTTTAAAGCTACTGGAATTTATTGTGTAATATTGCCATCATTTCTAATCCCCTGGAGTAATCAAAAATTCCTTCACCCCTCACTCCACCCTAAGGAAAAAAAGGGTGGGAAAAAGGAAACACAAACAGCACATTGCTCCCCCAAATGGAAATCAAGGGGAAAACTGACAGGACACTGGTCAGTTTCACTTTTGAATGTATCCTTATAGGACCTGCAATGGAATTTCTGGGAAGGCTGAAGGTGAAGACCCAACAGAACAGGGGAGACAAGAGTTTCTTCCTGTGAGGAAGCAGATGCCCACAGAGCCACAGAGACTGTTGCAAATGGGTTGACTGGTTGCAAGTTGGATTCACTGAAGCTCAGCTGGCAATAAAACCAACAGAAGTCACAGAAGCACAGGGGTCCAGAATTGCTTCTAAATTGACATGAAGTTATTGAATCCTTTCCTCACCTGAACTTAACCTCGGCCCAGACAAGTCCCGGCAGTATCTATTTTGTGCTATATAAACCATGACATCACTTTCATTTTATCCCCAGCCCATGAGTGTGAAAGATTTAAGTCATCCTTAGTTGTGCAATATCAAAGTCTTTCCTCTTTATTCTGACATTGTCTAATAACAGTCCCAAACTCTGTTAGGTTTTTTTTTTCCTTGATGGAAAGTTAGATGACTAAACAGAGTAGGAACAGAGGCAATAAAGGCAGGGTATAGCCTGGCAACAGGGACAACCAATTTCATGCCAGCATAGCTTTCTGCTAACTCGAGGATGGGTGGAGAGCCTTCAGTTCCACAATGGAGAAAGGCTTCTTGAAGTGCTTGTAGATATGGAAGGTCTACAAGTCTGAGATCCTATTCTTTTGTGCATTTTGAAAGATCAAAAATATCCTTTTTAATTATTGTCACATTTTATTTGTTTGTTTATTTAATTTTTAATTTTTGTTGGATGATAGACATCTGGTTATCCCCAGCATGTTTAACCTCAGTAACTGATGATTGATCCACTTCCTCTGCTGGAAGTTGATTCCAAACTTCCGTTACTCTTTTTGTGAGGTAATATATTCTAACATTATTTCTGAATTTCCCTCCTGTCAGTTTGAAGTTATGCCCTTATTCTTGATTTTTTTTTTTTGCTTAATATTGAAAAAAAATGCCTTCTAGAACCTTATTCACACTTTTTCTAGTTAGAAGTGAGAAGCTTTGCAACACTTCCCCAAAATATTTTGCTTTTTCCTTAAAATTCTGCCAATGCTTTGCCTAAATTTTAAGAATCATCAAAATCACTTTAGATAAAATCCCGTGCCAATTTTCTTGAGATGTCTCCTGCAAGTCAAAGGTGTTTCTGTTGAACATACAGATCTATATGATGTGGGAAGATAAGTGATTTTAGAGGTTCCCAGAATTCTTTCTGAATATTAACTATAGACAGAGAAAGTTACTGCAGGATATGGAAAGAAGCTTATCTTCCAACCTGGATGCTCATTCACAGGGAACACTGGTAAAAACAGAGTAATCTCATAACCTAATTTGAAAATCTCTAAAACTGCTATTTTCATTTGTGATTAATCCCATTATTTTAGGCTTTTGTACAAGATGTTGCTCATTCAACCTATCATCCACTAAATTTCTCTTCCCTATTCCCCCCCCCCACCTGTCTTTCTTCTCTTTTTCTCTTTCATGGATTTTTTCATTGCCAATTTCCTTGTTTGTTATCTTTGTGTGTGTAAGTAACAGGAATTATGTGAAATTATTTATTGGATTGAGGTAATAGGGAACGGTTGCTGATAACCCGTAAGAATAGCAGTGGAAATATTATATCTCCTAGAGCAGGGGTGTCAAACTCGTGTTGTCATGGCAGCGTCACGCCCCTGCTCTTCACTAAACTGGGCAGGGGCGGGGCCAGTATGTGATGCATCTGCGAGTTTGACACCCCTATTCTAGAGTAAATTCAAGTAAACGGTCCCATATTACTCTGGGAAAAACTAAAGAAAAGCTAATGGAACTCTCATGGCTATGAGCCTTGGCTAATAATGATTTCTACTGGATCAGTCTGAATGCCTTCCATTTGAACAAAGTCATACATATTTTATTTAGGTCTCAAATCACAATATTTCCTGTCATGGAAAACACTGGAAATAACTCTACTTGATTACTTCCTAATTTAGTACTCATTTTGTTATATAGAACAAG